CATAAAGAGTCCATAAGCCCCAATATGCCCACCGACAGACTTAAAGGGCCATACACACCAAATAAAAGTGCATACATTTTCACAATCTCCCAGGGGCCATAGTCATGCTGGAGGAGGCTGGCAAATAGGCTTCTCCACAACCCAGGGAAGCAGGGCAATTTGCCATTTAAAGGGCCCGTTACAAATAGCAGTTTGTAACAAGGTGTCAATCCATGTCTGCCAAGTGACCCGATGTAGGGGGACCAGTCCCTATTCTGCTCTGTGTCAGTGTGTATCAGGGAACCTTAGGACAGGTGTCAATCCATATCTGCCAAGTGACCCGATGTAGGGGGAACAGTCCCTATTCTGCTCTGTGTCAGTGTGTATCAGGGATCCTTAGGACAGGTGTCAATCCATATCTGCCAAGTGACCCTATGTAGGGGACCAGTCTCTATTCTGCTCTGTGTCCGTGTGCATCAGGGGCTCTGAGGACAGGTGTCAATCCATATGTCAAGGTGTCAATATGTCATATGTCAGGTGTCAATCCATATTGATTGTGATTTAGGAATGTTAGGTGATTTCTGCCCCTTATGGATTAAAACCAGACTCTGTATCAACTGTGTAATTTTCCATGGGAGTTTTGCCATGGATCCCCCTCCGGCATGCCACAGTCCAGGTGTTAGTCCCTTGAAACAACTTTTCCATCCCTATTGTGGCCAGAAAGAGTCCCTGTGTGTTTTAAAATTCGCCTCCCCATTGAAGTCAATGGCGTTTCGGGCGGTTCGCCGGTTCGCGAACATTTGCGGAAGTTCGCGTTCGCCGTTCGCGAACCGAAAATTTCGGGTTCGCGACATCACTATATATGATATATCCACATTAAATTATATAGTAATGTGGATTCTTTTCTTTTATAAAGCTGAATAGTATGATCTATTCTGCAATCTCATCTCAAAGGAAGATGGAGTGGGGGGCTGCCAGATTTTTTTTTTGTTAATTTCTGTCCTCCTTGGTTTCTTTTGGCTTCCTACGCCAATGAAGTTATTTCATATATTTTTAAAAGAGGTTGTAAATTCCCTTTATCATATCCCTTAAAGTATGTGAGTGAAGTATTTGAACATTTGTTTCATGACAAGTGATGCCTTGGTTATCCGCAATTTTTTTCATATTGTGGTAGATGAAACAATTTTGAGGAACGCAGAACAATTTGTAAATTAGTGGTCACACAAGTGTTTAACATGAACCTGTCATTTACCTTATAATGATTTCACCACAAATTCTAAAATGCATTTAATCATCTAAGCTATCAACACACCCTTTTGTTCAATTGAGGGCAGATGTCTTTGTAATAGCATTAATATTAGCCATAAAATATGCAGAGCAAACCAACAGCTGGGCAAACATTCCAAAGGAATTTAGACTTGAACTAGCAATATCTCCCAATAGGATATTATGTAAACTTTGCTTATTTCTAATACAAGGTTACCATTGGTTTAGTATTTTGCTATACTGTAAAATGTAAAATCATCCAAATCCAAACATATGTAAGCAACTTGTTCAACCAATAAACAGGTCGAGAGCACACCAATAAATGCCTATATTTAGGGGCCTGTGCCTCAGGTAAGGCTTCTGTTCATCAAACCTTCAAATAGTGAATCAAAAATGAAATCCTCAGCACACAGCAATATAAACTCCTGGTGTCTCTGTCAAGCCATAAACAATATATATTGGTGTATCCATCACACAATGAATTAATCATATTTATGCTGCTGCTACTTTGGGCTCATAGCAATATTGACACATAAATATGGTAGATTTTAAAACATTTAATAAAACGTTTGATACCTTATTGAACATTGCATTTATGGAAGCATTTTAAATGAAATAATGATATGATCCATAGTTGTGCGCACTATAAAGCAATATATACATCTTACTCATAATAAGTTGCAGTTATGCTAATAAATGTGTGTTTATCTCCTAGGTGTTTGTGCTGTCGGGAAACCAATGTGTCTTCTTTTTGAATACATGGCTCATGGAGATTTAAATGAGTATTTACGACATAGATCACCCCGTGCATTAAGTGCTTTGAGTCACAGCAGCCTTGCAGCAAAAGTGAGACTCTCTGACCTCAACCCTTCTCCTCTCTCCTTTATTGATCAACTCTATATCTCCCACCAAGTTTCAGCTGGTATGGCCTATCTGTCAGAGCGTAAATTCGTCCACAGAGACTTGGCCACCAGGAATTGTTTGGTGGGTGAGGACATGGTGGTGAAAATAGCAGATTTTGGTCTTTCTAGAAATATATATTCAGCTGATTATTACAAAGCTAATGAGAATGATGCCATTCCAATTCGCTGGATGCCTCCAGAGTCTATCTTTTATAACCGGTATACAACAGAGTCAGATGTCTGGGCCTATGGAGTGGTCCTTTGGGAGATATTCTCCTATGGTATGCAACCATATTATGGCATGGCCCATGAGGAAGTCATCTACTATGTTAGAGATGGAAATGTTTTGTCCTGTCCTGAAAACTGTCCATTGGAGCTTTATAATCTAATGCGTCTCTGTTGGAGCAAGATGCCATCTGATAGGCCGAGTTTTGCCTGTATCCATCGCATTCTGGAGCGTATGTATGAAAGAAATGTTTCTGCTGCTCATGTTTGAAGGACTTTTCCCCCAATATTCAATACCCACTGACCGTTTCTTTGCTATGGAGTACCAGGGCCTCACTTCAATGTCCAGCACTGTAGAACAAAACCTTAAAGAATTGTCTGTATTTAAATGGGGTCAATTAATGCAGCAGAGTTTATGTTCTGCAAAGGATTTGGTATTTTCCTTAAAAAAAATGGATAATCTGAAATGTGGTAAAACTTTAAGCCTTCTTTAAATATGCTTCAGGAGATGTATTAATTCCACTTTGAGTGACCTTCAAAAAGTATAAGCAGGTGCTGTGTATATGTGAAATGTTGTCACATAGCTCTGCTAACCCTGCAAATATACTGAAACCTTGAATTAGGACTGTTCAGCAGTGAGAATTAAATTCCATTCAGTGAATAAGTAATCGGAACTGTCTTTTATTATACAAACAGCCATCCACTATTTTGATGTTTCTGAAGGTTTGGACAGATCATTTTTTTATTATTACTTGTCACAGATCAAGCTTTATTATCCCATTCATTCCTTTTTTCTGATAATGAAGGCATAACAAAACACCTATTTGTACGTATTGTAGAATCCTTAATTAGATGTTGTCAGTAGCAAAATACCACAAATGTCATCATTTTTAATCTAAACTAAATATTATTAATCCACATATGTGCACTTTTTGTAGATAGGCTTCATTTCATTATCATTGAGAAGTCTTAAAGGCACAGCACTCTCCCTCTCACACCTTTCAAGCTAACTATACCTTTAATACCCTGGCACTTTTACCACCTATTCTCTACATAAACCATGATATAAACCATGATGCAATTTTCTGAAACAAAATCTTTTTCAAAATGTTGTTTTAGAGAGTATCACTTGTCAAGATTTATTGATAAAATAATTTTAGATATATAATTTACACTTAAAACCCTTTCCCCTCGACTGTCCCACAGGGTGGGACATTTTAATTTTCTCATTCCTATCGTTTGTCCCACCTGGTGGGACATATGAGTAGCATACAAGTTTGACGATCGTATGGCTCACCCAGAGGGACATAATGTTATCGGATAAAGGCGACTTGAAAAAAAACGCACCCACAAAGTGATTTCTATAAATAAATTTGGCAAATTTGATGAACGACACTGAAATTTTATCCGAGTGGAAAGATGCCTTCAACATATGTGTGCAGGTGCAATTTAAAAGAAAAAGCTTTACATGTAGAAAGCCTATTTAGCCATTATTTTACCCCATTGTTTCTGCAAATACTTTTTTAGGAGGCATATCTTACCGAGGACAAGAAAATCAAAATTTTCATGTATGTGCTAAAATAAAGGAACGCAGAAAGAGATAAAATTAAAACAAGAGTATACACTCCCTTTAGAACTGTAAAATAGGTTTAGATAATATGCCTTTTATTGCATCATAATCAACCATTTATGTGTCGATATTGTTGCAAACTCAAAATATTCCAGTGGATTATCAGTATTTATGTGATTTATTTCTTTAATCATTAAACTCTAAGTTATGATATTATTTCACTAAATAGTTATCACTAATTTTGCTCATTTTCATAATTATAAATGGCTTAAAATGTCTGTGCAATAAACTGATCTATGTTTTTTCTTTTCCATATGTATTTGTATTTGAGATCGATATGAATTTTCCTCTTATAAATATGTTTTATTAATAAATATGTGTTCTTTAATTAGGTCTGTGTCTCCATTTGTGTCCGAATAGCATTTTTCTACTTGCAAAGTAATGAAAACATTTCACGAAACATGTAGGAGCAGAACGATCACCGACTTGTTCTCTTATTGCTCCAAGTGAACTCCATCCCGAGGCTCTGCATACGGCAAGCATGCAGCCCTTCAACCCCCGGGACTGTTATTTGTTGAAGTATCACAGTTGTAATGGCTGTGTATACCGTTCACCATTTCATTTGTTACTATACAGACCGAACGACTGCTTTTATCACTCTAATCACCTACTGAGTTTTTACACAGCAGTACAAACTCTGTAACTGCATGAAGCATACTGGCTCTTGATATATAGGACCATACCCTCTGTGAATTATATCTTGCGAGTACACTATGTAGGGGGATGGGCCATATAACTGCATTTTGTATTTTTTATGATTATATTTTTCTCTTTTATCTTTAATGATTTTATAGGTTTTTCTTTTTTTCTTCTGTGTATAAAATTTGAATACTTAATAAATTGCCAATATTGCACCATTGAAGCCTTGCCTCGTTGCGCTTTTTAGGCTTCTCGACTATAATGAAAACATTACTTTTGCAATGAATTATTAATTTATTGCACATATTCCCTGTCTCTAGATGTTACTTATTTAAAATGCAAGCATGTATAGTTTGCAAGTTTAGAAAAAGTTTAGAAAACTGGAAACACCCCACGAATCCAGCCTGCAGCCTGAACGGATGTGGAAAGGCTGGCTGGAAAGTTTAAATAACTACACAACTGGTAAGATCTCAGACTGGCAAAGAGTTAATCCCAAAGCATGGACAAGTTATCAATGCAGCATTTCTCCTTCGGTGCAGCCTTAAACCCTGCACAACTGGCAGTCATTTAGTGCCAGTTCCTCCACTTACAGGCCAGTTGCTAGTCATGTGGGATGTGAGACTACACTGAAGGAGATAGCGTGGATAGTTCTGCCATGCTACAGAAGGCAAAATAAAATATCATAAAGACTTGCTTTTGTAATACATTATGAGTTAGCAATGCAAAAAAATTGATCCTCAATAAGTCTCCTAGGCCCACCCACCCAGAGCAAATCCCACATTCTTAGCATCAGAAATTATGAGAGTTACGTCCATCTCACTAATTCAAATGCAAAAGTGTGCACCAAAACTCATGGCTATGTCCATCCTTACAAGAACAGTGTGGTGGAAAGAATTGGTAATGGTGCTTGGAGTCTGTATGTGTAGCATTTAATTTTGACCCTCAGTTTGACTCCAAGCACCACGACAACTTCAGTGCTTTAAAGTAGGCTTGGTTCTTGGAATCTGTATGTGCAGCATTTCAGTTTGAAATGTCCAAGGAGGAGGGGAGGGGTGACATCACCAGAGAAAGATTTGGCCTTTTAAACATTTAGGCTTCTACCATGGATAGACGAGAGTGCATTGGGATCCATGCCGTTTATTACTCGGGAACAACACCCCTCCCAAAATTGGCACTCTATGAATTGGGACGCCATTGGAAGGGGGAGAAATGGGGTCAGGGCTAAATGTTCTGCCCAAAGGATAGGCAGGTCATTCACACCAGGCTGCCTGTCAATCATCCAGGCCAGCCAACTGAGGCGAGACCATGCAGGGAGCACTGTTTCAGGATACAAAAATCAGGACTATCCCGACAAAATTGATTATGTTGGGAGACATAGGCTTGAGCAGACACATAACCTCTAGGCTTTAAGTCAACTCCTTTTACCTTCTTTATCAGAGACATGCTGTGATATAGAATAAAAGTATCATGTGGAAAATTTTTCCTAGGGATAGCCCACTCCTACTTTTAGCAGGGTATGGACTAGAGCAGGAGCACACAGTGAGTAGTAGAAAAGTTTGAAAAAGGTTAATCTATTTTATTATCTGCTTTATTTCTTTTATATTTTTCCATTTCTGTACTATGGCACTACTGGCACCATAACCACTACAACGTAATGTAGTGCTTATTGTGCCTGGATTGTTTCTTTAAATAATCTACCAGTGCCACTCCCAAGATTAGGGTAGTCTGTGTGGGGCAAAAGGAAAAATTATTGGGAGATCGATTGTGGAGTTGTGAACAGATCTCATTGTGATTCTAGAATCTAACAATATTCTAAAAATATTATTAGTAGAGAAACCTATATGTAAACATACATAAACACAGCTATCTTGAAATCAAGAATTGCTAGAAGAGAAGAAGATATATACAAAATAATTTTAATTTGCAATAAAAAACAAATGACAAATCATCATTTGTCTGTCTGTGATGATGAACATCCTGCAATTTGTTAATCAGCATAATATATGAGGTGGTATTGGTGATGTTTTATGGTTGTTGACATGTTTGCATGTGTTCTTTCACAGTAAATACCTTCTTTTATTAACTTGTGACTACTACAGCTATAATGGACTTCTTATAACATGTTCCTTGGTTTAACAGAGCAAACAACAAATAGATGCTGTCATTAAGTGTTGCACTGGTAGTCTGGAAAGGCTTGTATTCTTTGGCAGAGGATACTTTTAAATTTTAGTTTGGCTTTTTAAATACCTTCATGCACTTAATAATAAATGTGTGTTCAGTCCATGCATTTTCATTTTGCTGAATATCTAGATTGAAAACTACAGTTTAAGTGAAAGGGTAACCAAAACGCAATTCTATAAATTATGGGCAGAAACATACATACAAAGAGTAATTTAGAACCCGAAATTCAAACCTAAAACACTGTATGTGCGTTCCAAAAATGTGATATAGGGATATAAGGTGTTTGTAAAAAAACAAAAACTGTTTAAAATACTCAAACACTGTCCCAGAATGTATCTGTGAGAATGATATCAAAGAATACATGTACAAATTGCTATTGATAAACGAGTCTGAACCAAGCACTGTATCACCAAAGACATAATCTCAATTTCAACAGATAATTCTAAATTTATGTCTCTATCTCACATCTAGTAGTTCTTATACAAGTAACCAAAATAGAGAAAAAACAAAGAAGGGAGGTGAGGGGGGAGAAGTTTTAATAAAAGAAAGAAGAATAACTATAGAAGTATATGAGTTTTGATACATTGTATTATTTTATTTGTGATACATTTGGCAAAAGCCTTAGAATATATCAGTTTTTATATACTTATGTTCATTGTTGGAAACTTGTTGATAGAAAGTTTATTTTAATCTAAATAGGTCTTTTCTGTATATATTTGTATCTAAATTTTGGGAGCGCACATATAGTATTTTAGGTTTAAATATCTATATTGTGCAGTACGAATTACCAAATACAAAATGAAAAATGATCTTACACTTGTAGATTTAGTTTAACATCGGGGACATAGACGAAGAACAACATTGATGATGCGGAAGATAAACAAAACACATAAGGGAACATCTGTGTGCAGACCAGATAAATAACCCAAAGAATTTCCCACATGGCCACCTTCACCTACTGTTCCATCCTAAAGAACTCTGTTGGTAACCTTAAACCTCTATAAATAAAAGCTAGGAAACTAGGCTACTTTAGAATGGGACCACTCTGGTGCCAAATATCTTAACTATTAAGATATTTTGTAAGCAAATTTATATTTATATTATTATTATTAGTAGTATTTATATAGCACCAACTTCTTCCACAGCTCTTTACAATAGTAATGAGACAATTATAAAATCTTACAGGAACAATAGGTAGATGAGGGCTGTGCTCAGACGAGTTTGCAGTCTAGATGAGTAGAGTATAAATATCCAATAGGAAGGGCATCAAGGGGGAACGCAAACAACAAAGTGGAAAAATAACAGAATTGGAGGTTCTAATATTCTTACTTTATTGTGCAATAATAGAAAATAAAAAGTATACCTACAATGATAGATACATAGATCCACAATCTCCTACAGACTTATTGGCTGCAGAAATACAGTGCACATCTGCCATTTAAATGTCCCTGTAACTGTGAACCTTGTGACAGAAGCAAGAATCAGTATTAAACAAATGAAAAAGGTAACAGGCTGCGCCAAATACAAATGTTGACTAAACAAGTGTATGAACACAAAAATCAATGCTTAAATACGAATATGGTATAAAAGTCCAGAAGAGAAAGTCCTTATGGTACTAATATAAAACCTGCTGGAAATAGTATTCCTGGAGTGGGGATTGTTCCGCTCAAAGCCTTATCTAAGAGATGATTGGAGGCTCTCTCCTTCATAACAGCAATGTCAAGCAGGACATGTCTAACTATCAGTTAGGATAAATATGTAGTCAACATTTTGTAATTTGAAAAGAGAAATAAGTTAGTTAGGCAGACACAGTTATACTTTTGATTAAATACATTTGATTAAATAGGATAGAGCAGCGGTTCCCAAACTGTGTGTACCTTGTAAAAATACTGACATATTAAGGGCACCTTAAACCTAAAAAGTTTGGGAACCATTGGGCTAGAGATATGAGGTCTTAAGCTGATGCATGATAGGCACTCTAATTTACATTCCTGATAAAAACTGTGCTGGCATATTAACACCGTCAGGCCATTTGGCTTTGGTCAGGCATTGTCTAGGCTGAACTGCAATGCTATGTGGATAGTTAAGGGTCAATGTACAATAGCAGCAGACTATGCAGACATGACTGGGTGATTAGCTAAGATAGCTAAGATAGAGATCACATGAGTTACAGATTGCCAAAATGTTAGACAGTGAAACAGTGCCTGAGTTAAAGGAAAACAAAATGAAAACATAATAAAATATAGCATGATAACCAACTGGTTAAACTTCAACTACATGTATTACTGAGCTTATAGTGTTGAAAACACTATATACCCTCCTCCTCCCCCCTTGCTTCCTTTAGCCCCCTTAAATATAATACAACCTTTATTTCAGCCTGCAGCTTCTGTCTCTGCCCCGATCTGCCTCCTTGGCTGACATCATCAGAAGAGGTCGCAATCGCAATGCTTTCCTATAGGATTGGCTGAGATTCACACAGGCCAAACAGCCCTGACCAATCAGCATCTCCTCATAGAGAATCCATTTATCTCTCTGAGGAAAGATCAGTGTCTTCATGCAGATGGTGGAGACATTAAATGTCAGTGCTGTACATTGTGCAGCACTGCACAAGAAAGCACCTCTAGTAGCCATATGAGTACTGGCTAGTGAAGGTATCCATAGGCTGTTATGTAAACACTGCCTTTTCTCTGAAAATACAGTGTTCACTGCAAAAAGCCTGAAGGGACTTATTATATTCAAGAGAACAAATACAATTTTCCAATTTTTAGTCAGATAGTTATTTCTCGAGATGGTTATATTTTCACAAGGCCTTAGTTATTTGACATATAATTCATTGGAACTACTTTCAGTGGTAATAATCAGTTAATTTGTAATAAAGTGTCTGGTTATTAGACAGGTGCCAACAAAAAGGTAGTAAG